ATTTACAGCGCGCAATACAAAAATTATTTCTACTATAAATCTGACCGTTAAAAAATTAATCCAACAGTAAAAATACAGTCTCTACCGGTAGATGATAATAGCTTATCCACCGTGTAGACTCCCAAATACATACGTGTACGCATAGTTTTTTTTTTCTTATCTTCAATATCTCATTTTTAGAATTTCTTCTCATGTATATTTTAACGCCCTCATTTGATCTAGTCGGACATGTAGATCTTTTTCTTTCTTTCTTTCTTTTTTGTGTGAATGTAATAAAGAAGTGATAATCAGTCAACTGAAAATTTGATGATCAACGTTTCTTAATTCTTATCTCTAAATCCACGATGTGTTTGGTGTCTAATCCTACCTATAAGCGTGTGTATATTGTCCTTATATGTAGTTTTCTGTCAGCCCTTTTCAGGTCATTCTGTTTCACTTCATCAAGTACTTTTTCTTCAGTTTAAAAAATGTTCATATATACCTGGGCCAATCCCAATCTTTAGTCTAAGTAAGATCCTTGTGTTGTTTCAAGAGAAAAAAGAAAAAAGAGAGAGAGAGAGAGAGATCCTTGTGTTGTTCATGTGGATCACTGACTAATTAATCAATGCCATATTTGTCTTTTACTTAATATATTTTATTATCATATTCCACACCATTTTTTTGTTTTGTTTTTGTTTTTCCCTTTTTGCATGGTATAGATCTTAACTGCGATTTTGATTTCAACAAACTAATTAGAATTCACTACTACTGTGCCAACAAAAGTTTAGGTGATGGATCGTTTCCAGAGGATTCAACAAGCATCTGAAATGAAGAAGTTGCAGTATAATAATAATTACTCTAATCAAGCGGGTTTTGTGGACCTCACCCTGAGATTAGGCATGCCTAATCATGATTACAGCGACATTAATAATCCGACCGAAATTTGCCAATCATCTCTAAATTCGAATTACCTCTTCAGTCTTTGCCATTTCAATGGCTCTCACATGAGTAGTACTACTCATGATCAGGTACATATATCTCTACCTTTGTTTCTGATTAATTAATTATCAATTATTTGGCATGTTTATCGTTGTAGTTTATATGATGTTGATGGGTTAATTCCATTCAGTTAGTGTGATTAATCATCCATATTTAAGATTTTCTTGCAGCCTTTAATGAACAATTAACAATAATTAGCCGATTAAATGTGTCTTAATTAATTTGAAGAAAAGGTGAATAATTTTATATGCGCACACAACTTCTCTCTCTCTCTTGTTTGTGGTTATAGCTAGTCATGTATCTTTCTTTTGTTTTTGGATTTTTGGAAATCCTAGTTATCGTCGTTTACTCTCGCTTTACAATTTTCACCTAATTGTTATGACTTATCTAAGTTTTGTTATAATCAATAAACGGTAATATTTCTTGTACATGCCACTTTCAGTAAGGAATTTAATTGTACACCCCACACATGACACAGAAGTTAATAAATAAATCTGTCAAATAAAGCCATTATTGTGTGCGTTTAACAACAAAGGGCAATTAAATTACTTGGAACCAATAATTAATATTGTGAAAACGTAAATATATATATATATATATATATATATTTATCAAATTAAGAAAACCAGGTAATGACATTAAATTATTGGCAAACAAACAGGAGCACACATCATAAATAAATAATACATATATAATGTATAATATATGAAATGTGACATTCAGGCTAGTAGCCATAGGATAAGTCCGGCAAACGTAACATTGGGCGCGTTTGAAACTCGTTTTAAAATGATTTTGTTTTTTGTATGAAAATGAAAATGAAAACGTTTTCAATCTCAGACAGAAATCATTTTTGAAAATGTGTTTGATAGTTTTATCAAGATATTATTTTCACTATAAAAACTCATTAATGTCTCTCTCTCTCCCTGCTTGAGAGAGGAGAAAACGAAAATAAAAAATGAAAAACGACTAAAAGTCATTTTTCATTTCTATCTCATTTTACACTAAATCAAAAAAATCATTTTCATTTCTGTTTTTTGTCTTTATTGCACCAAATGCCGTTTTAGAAATATTTTCATTTTTTCTTTCTCAAAAAATGTGAAAAACAAAAAGGGAATCAATTCTAAACACGGCCATTGTTTTTGCATTCATATAATACGCACTTTATTCAAATATAACAGTCAATAAAATGTAATTTTCCGCCATGTTACAATACACTTGACATTATCATATTACACGAAAAAGTCATAAGCTCCTAAAAAAAACGTTATACTTTATCGTATGTTATGGTCGTTGGATATAAGATAATACCTATATATATGACCGAAAGAGTTTTGCAAATCTATCTAAGCACCTTTTTTTGAGCTTGGGGTAAATCTATCTAGTACTTTTATATATGTACACATATAATTGATCAGTTTTGAATCTTATTGATGCATTTCAGCCCCTCATGCAATACTGGCAATATGGCCACAATAGGATGGTTTCTGGAGATCATATTACCGACAATGGCTATTATAACATGATCAACAACACTAGTGGTGGAGTACCAAGCAACTACTTTGGAAGAATATTCAACCAAACTGGAACCAATCTTGGGCACCAGATTATTAACACAGGACCAGACCAAGTATTTTCTGAAGGGCCACATTATACATACTCAACTCCTAATAGTTCTACTTTTAATGCCATCACGAGTAATCCATACACAAGTACTTCAATTTCTCCAGCAATAATGAAGAACAACATTGATCTCCTTTGTACTAGATCAAGAGGCCAATCTTCTCTAAGAAAGAATAATAGAGGGAAAAAACAGTCCGAGGCAGTAGTAGTGGATGTGGGAGAAGAAGAAGAAGAAGAAGAAGAAGAAGTTGAAGATGATGATGATGATGATGATGATGCAAATAAGCGCTGCTCCAACCCTAAATGCCTCACTCATACTACTCCCATGTGGCGCAGAGGTCCTCTCGGTCCCAAGGTTTATTTCACAAATTTTTGTTCTTTGAATTTTATCCCCTTTTACTGCTTTTTTTTTTCGATCTTGTTTTTTTTGTTTTGTTAAGTTTTTTTAGACTTTCTTTAGTACGGTAACATACTGATATGTTAAATTTTTTATCGGTTAAATTTATATAAAAATACGTAGATCTATACTTACAGGAAGAATCTCCCAAGTTTTTTTGTTTTTTTGTTTTGTTTTTTTGTCTAGTATGGTTGATTTTTGTTAAATGTTCCAGAGCCTGTGTAACGCTTGTGGAATAAAGTACCGTAAGCAAGAAGAGAGGATCAGGGCTGCCGAAAAAATAGCTGCGGCGAAAACAGGAAACACTTCTACTATCAGCAATCTTAATTAGTCATCATTAACGATGGTTACATTACTTCACTTTCTTCTTTCTATAATTATCTATTTCTGGATATTTGTAATTTTGTTGTTAATGTCGGCGATTTGCTTTATAACATTAAAGAACGACTTGTCGGCTGAGTTAACATCATAAAAAACGACATGTCTCTGATTGTGAACTTCAATGACGACATGTCGTTTTACCTTAGACTTTTCTGCCTTTGAAGTATAAACGACATGTTAGTACATTTTACACTGCAATGTCGTTTGTGTTGTGAAATATGACATGCGACGTATGAAGTGAAATTTTTCCATCGTTCACGGGAAATCTACGTGTCATTATGTCAGCCATTTTGGGTCCTTTAATTGAATAGCTTCTGACTTAATTAATTAATTTCTTGAAGCTATATTTTTGTATTGGTGAACTTTTTTCACCAAATTAAAGTAAAAATAAAAAACCACCGTCTTTGGTATGTTATAGGAACCAGACTCAAGATGGTCAGGCCTAACGTCTTGTTTTTATTTTCTTTAGATTTTTTATCCGTAAATTATTTTTTAACTTTGAGCATAATGACATTTGGGTTGGTATTAGAAATAAATCAGAAATAAACGAGAAATAGGATAATTAGCAATGTTGGTTCTTCAACTTTGAGCATAATGACATTTTGGTTGGTATTAGAAATAATTCAAAAATATGATAATTAGTAATGTTGGTTCTTCAACTTTGAGCATAATGACATTTTGGTCGGTGAACTTTCAATTTTAATTTTGACAATTAGCTTGTAAATTTTTAGAAAAGAAAGAAGAAAATATGCTCATCTCATACATTGAAACCCACATACATACATGACCCCAGAATATTATCAATTACACATTACATTAGTCATACAAATAAATGGAAACAAATCAACTTTCTGAGAGTTATGAGACTCTTATTTCCATAACAAGAACATGCAATTCAACAACAAAACTCAAGAAACTTGGCATGAAATGGCAAACACGGGAACTTTAGTACACATTACACAGGCTGCCTCACATGCCAGGCATTACCTTACTCAGCATCAGCAAATCTAGAGAGAGAGAGAGAGAGAGATTGTGAGATGTATAACGCATTGTGAAAAACAAATAAGACTGAGAAAATGAGGTCCGTTTATATATACTCACCTAAGTTCCGATAACTTCAAATGAGTTTCGGCATAATCAGCAAAGAATGCATCCTCATCCTAAATATCAGAACCAAAGTTAAAATTTCTACTCTCTTTCTTTTATTTAATTTTTTAAAATAAATAAATAAATAAATAAAACCCCATTTTTGCTTTAAAAATATTATTCTATTTAGAAGATTTTCGATCAAAATTATAAAGAGTATATTGAAGTTGTATATATTATCTGAGCTGAAGAATTTTTCCTTACCCAAGTATACCTGCTTCCCACAATCCCTACCAAAAAAAAAAAGACTGAGAATGGCAAAGTCAGAGTGTTAGAGAGAGAGAGAGAGAGAGAGAGAGAGAGAGAGAGAGAGAGCGAGGGAGAGAGAAAGTTCGCGGAAATGGAGAGCGGGGGCGATAATATGAGTCGGCTTTATCTCTCTGA